ATATTTATATTAATAAACAAAGAATGAAAACAAATGCATTCAAGAAGTAAGAAGCCACACACACACAAAAGTAATAAAACAAAGAAGGAAGGAATTAAAGATAAAAGCAGAAAGTGATCAACTGTAAAACAGAATACAAAAGTAGTAAGTAAATCTGAGAGCTCCTTCTTTGGGGGAAAAACATACCGTATTTCTCCATGTGTAAGATGCACCCTTTTTCGAAAAATTTGGGGTCTAAAAACTGGGTGCGTCTTATACAGTGGTTGTAGTTTTTTTTTTTTACTTACATTTGACAGTGATGAGGAGTTGTATGAATTTTATGATGAATAAAACGAGTTCAATAACTTTATGTAATACATTTTTTTCCAAATTTCAGGCCCCAAAATTAAGGTGCATCTTATACATGGGAGCGTCTTGTACATGGGGAAATATGGTAAAACTCTAACAGCTTACTTAGAAGGAATAACAGGGGAGTTAGGGAAGGGAGAGAGCATAAATACTATGTAACCATTGAAAAGAGTGAGAGAACTATATGCACTGATATAATCTGAGATATAATATTAAATGACAAAACAAGGAACAGCTATCATTTGTACTTAAAACCCAGAAAGGCCGTATATGTACAAGTTCTTGTTGGTGCACAGAATATATCAATACAACAGTCAAAAATGGTGCTCTGGGGCAGCCAGTTGGCTCAGGTGGTTAGATTGCGGGCTCATAACACCAAGGTTGCCAGTTTGATTCCCACATGGGCCAGTGAGCTGCACCCTCCACAACTAGATTGAGGACAATGGCTTGACTTGGAGCTGAGCTGCCAGTGGGCGGCCAGTTAGCTCAGTTGATTAGAGTCCGGTGCCGGTGCTCGAACGCCAAGGTTGCCAGTTCGATTCCCACATGGGCCAGTGGGCTGTGCCCTCCACAACTATATTGAAAACAACGACTTGACTTGGAGCTGATGGGTCCTGGAAAAAACACACTGTTTCCCCAATAAAGTTTAAAACAACAATGGTGCCCAGGCTCCATCCTGGGGGAGATGCTGTGTGATGACCTACTTTTTATTTATAAATTTTTAGAAAACTATTAAAAGTTTTTGAATTTTGTAGCATTACATGTTATTTGTTAAAAACTACTAAAATTAATTTTAATTATTTAGAGTCTCTAAAGCTACTCAGAAGAACTTTGGATATTTCTTTTGTTATTACTGAGAGGAAAGGGTTCAATCTACAGCCTTTTAAAAAATGATCCAACTTTTATCATGGACAGGTAGAATTCTTTAATATTTGTGCAATGCTTGATATTCTTCACAGCATTTAAGCATATACGCTCTCATCTGATCCTTGTAATGACAGTGTAAAGCTGGGTAGTGCTGCCGTCCTGCACTACAGGTAAGGACTCAGGCTCAGAGACCTTGGGTGACATGTAAGTCCATGTGGCAGCTAAGTGCTTCTTTCATTTATTCAAACTGGCCCAGGATCCTAGAATCTAGGATATTAGGATTTCGTAACTTTTTAGTTGTAGCTGGTCATTTCATAAATAGGTAAAATAGCACCTCAGTTACGCACTTGGAACAAAGGAACTTCTAAAACCTCAATTAGGTCGGCTTCATCATGAAACAGAATGAATGACAGGCATGTATCCTTTGTTATGGGCTGAATTGTGTCCCGTCAAAATTTATATGTTAAGAAAATTTAAAAAAAAGAAAAAAAATTTATATGTTGAAGCCCCAACCCTCTAATACCTCAGGATGTAATTGTACTTGGAAACAGGGTCAATTAAGTTAAAATGCAGTCGTGGGGGTGGGCCCTAATCTAGTATGACTGGTGTCCTTTCTTGTAAGAGGAGGATATTAGGATGCAGACACAGAGGGAAAACCACGTGAAGACACAGAGAGAGACATTTATAAGCCAAGGACAGAGCCTTAGAAGAAACCAATTCTGCTGACACCTTGATGTCAGAATTCCAGCCTCCAGAACCGTGAGGAAATCAATTTCTGTTGTTTAAGCCACCCAGTCTGTGGTACTCCGTTATGGCAGCCCCAGCAAATTAATGCACTCAATGTTAAGTCTCTAAAACGTACTTTCTCCACAATTTCATGGATCATCTAAAAGGGTCATTTGGAGAGTGATTCAGCTTGTCTGCACCAACATTTTCAGAAAAGCAACTACGTGGTCAAGAAAACATAACTTGGAAGTACCCTTTCCCAGATGTTGAGTTTTCTTTTCAAACAAATGAATTCTAATCTGTTAGAATGAAAAGCTTGTTGGTTTAGCTAATCCTCCTGGTGTTACAGTTTTGAATGATACACTGATATCTGATGCTTGCACATTTAAAAAGATGACAGTCTGACAGTTTGTTCTCCTAGGAGGACCAAGCATGTACAAAAATAATGTCAAGAAGATATTCAACTGGGACGAGAATCAAGGTATGTTATTTTCTTCTTTCTGTAAGGGTGACCTGAGCCAAGGGTAGGACCAAAATCCAAGAGTGATGCTCTACCACCGTGTGAACTTGCTGGACTGGCCCCACCTAGAACACCACATGAAACAAGGAGCAGCAGTACCTAGGGATGCACCCAATGATTCACCTGCTGCTCTCCACTGACTGGCTCTGTGACCTTCGGTGAGCCCTTAACCGCTCTCCTCACCCATGAAGTGGGATAAAAAAGAACCGCCATGAGGATTAAGTGAAATCATATATGTGAGAACCATGCAAAATAAATTATAAAGAATAACACAAATGTAATTTACTATTAATATTGTTAAATTAAGTACAAGATTACTGGTCCAGGAATCATGAGATTCCTAACTCTATGACTTACGTGCTTTTCTATATGTATGTTATACTTGAATTAAAACATTTACTAGAGGAACAGATTTCTAATTTTGTGTCTGCTATAAACTAGTACAGCGCTAGTCATATACGTATATAGGGCCACCTTCCTTATAAGGGGCCTGTTTCCTTATCTGTAAAATGAGAGTGTTGAATTATGTTACCTGGACCTATCTAAAAATTCTATGATCTTTTCTCATTACTCACTGCCTTGATAATATATAACACATTTTTAAAATAGAGGCTTTGACACTTGGGTGGGGACACATCTCTTGAATGTGAAATGCCTGATGTCAAAGAACAAAAGGGTTTGCAAGATTCCTGGCTATGTTGTGACTGGATTATACAGAGAATCCCAAATGATCAATCAGGTCTTATGAGAGACGCTTTGACTGGGAGACAACGCAGTAGATGAAAGCAATTCATCTGTAAATTTCAGGCATAAAAATGAATAGTGCTCCAAATGTAGCTTTCCTACCTAACGTAAGTACTTAGGAAAAGTTCAGCATGCAGACTTTGTCATTCCTAAACCGAGGGTTGAACTCCAACTCTGCCAATTATTCAGCTAGCTACGAAACCCTGGGCAATTTCCTTTCCCTCTCCAAGTCTCAGCCCTTGAACAGGCAGAATGACAAGAGAACGTGTATCACAGCACAATGCATGGCACACGACAAGTGTCCAAGCCTCTTCCTCGCTCATCAATTGCTCCATAGAAAAAATGAGCATCTCTGCTCTTCTCAGTTTTTTGGATTATGCTGTCAGTGATTAGGAGCACGTCTACCATGTCTGTTTGTGCCCAGCTTAACACTGTGTGCGCACACACACACATTTACTGAACAGTTTTGAGGATGGAAGCAGGACTCAAAGAAATACCCATTGGACAGTAGAAGGTACAGCTCTTCATTTCTGAGGAGGAGGAATGAGATAAAACAGTGACAGAAGAGAACTGAGGCTACATTTTGGAAAAACCTTTCATACAGAAATACTGTTAGATACTGGGGCGTGTTTTGTTAGTCTGCTGTCTTTAATAGATATTTAAAATATTACACACTTTTGTTCTATTTACAGTGAAGATCTGGGAAAAGCAGAAAAGTGTGAGAAGAAAAAACATGCCCATAATTATAACGTCCAGAGAGAAACAGTTCTGATGGGGAGCCTCATGACACACTGTTGGAATCTCATTCCACCCCAAGCCATGCATCCCAAGTGGCTAGATCATCACCTTCCTTCCTCCCCTCCATCCTTCCATCAATCCAACTCCCACTTTGTTCCAGAAAGATTTATAGGTAGCTGCATGACATTGGCTAAGTCCCTTAAACCAGACCTCAGTTATCATGTCTGTAGAATGAGACACTCCATCACCATTGTTGCAGAGACATCATATCATCTAAATGTTATTCATTGAGCGCCTTTCTCATGCCACATACAGTGTCAAATTCTCATACATCATCTCTGTGAAAATGCTTTGTAAACTTTCAAGCACCATTCAGACTATAACATTAAGGTATTATAAATTATTGATTTGTCCTCATGACAATTGCATCTTCTAGAAGGCAGAGGAAGCATAAGGGGAATAAGTGTGCCTAATACTAAACAACAAAGAGTTGGGGGGAAACCTAGGGAGAAAGTGACAGGTAGCATGTAGGCATTTTCCTTACAAATTACAAAAAAGAAAACAAAAGCAAGCTTCACATTTCCCTAGTAGATCTTTCTAGACCCAATGAATACTACTCTGCATTATTTTTACTCAAAGTCTTGAGTTTCTTAAATTTACTGGAAGTCTGGATGCGCCTTGACAGCATTTGCATCTCAAATGTGCCGAGCACCAATTAGAATGAAATGCGATGGACCTGCAAAATGTGAGTATTATGCGCTCTACGAGAATCTGAGCTCAGCGTCCAAAGGTGTGAAAAGTCCCATCTGAAATCTCTCTTAGGCACACACGCAGGCTTGCACACATGAACATACACACACCCCACCATGTCTGCCGAGTCTTAGCAGACCTGACTTCAACCTGGGACGTGTTGTTAAGACCCAGTAATGAAGCTGTGTCTCTGGAGGCTTATAATTGAAAAGGGCACAGAGTGCTTGTTACCGAACCCCTGGTGCCAGATTGCAAGGAGGGAACTGTTGAGATGAACGTTAATTACCACTCCTTGCGGCGCGCTCACCTGTTTTGCTGTTTCGGTGAGGGCAGCAGCTTCGGCCTTGCCCAGTTGTTGCACCATCTTGTAAAAGAGGCTTTCTTTATCTTGCAGCAAAACATATGGCTCATCATATTCTTTCAGTCTTCCTGAATCCAAAACCTGTTCATCAGCAGAAAGAAACCCATTAGCCTACAATGTTTTGCAGTAACATATTATAACTCAGACAATATTTCGGAAAGGGGCAGGGGAGGAAGAATAGAGAAAATCTATTTGGGTGGTAGGCCTGGCTGGTGTTTAAATGGTTTGATTACCCTGTTTTACTAGGCAGACAAAGGCCAAACCCGACCTTTTATTATTATAATGTTATAGGAAAGGAAGAAAACGAAAGTTTTAGACTATGATTATGGGCACTCAGCAATCCTGTGGCATTTTCTATTCTGCCAAGTGCATTTTGTTAGTGCTTTTAGCTCTCAGACTCTGAGCTTTGAGGGCTATTTATACATACATTCAGAGTTGGGAAATATCTTGATTTAAGAAAATCAAACCCAATTTATCTAAAAAGGAAGGTGATGTTATACAAACCAGATGGCAGTGACCTGAGAGAAAATTAATTGCTAAGTTGGTTTGACAGAATCTGAGTAATATTTGGAAAAGAAGTCAATCCTTCTGGAATTTCTTTAGGGTCCTGGAATATGTCACCTGGTGAGGGGGGCAGAACCCTTGTCAGCAAGATTAAGGTACACCTTGAAGCTGGCTTCCGTTGTAGTTTATTATTCTGAGAGTGAAAGGCTAAAAGAGCTGCTACCTAAGCAGCTTCAGCATAATTGCTCTGCACAGAAGAAATCTCCAGAAAACCAATTTTCTCTTTGGATAAGACTAAAGAAGCAATTAAGAAATCGAGCTCCGAATTCCAGTGATCACGGATGGCACAGCACACAGGGGCAGCCCAACCTGAACCACAGAGGATCTGAAGATCTGTTTCCCAATTATCTTTCCTTGCTCCTTTCTTTCTTTCTTCAGCTGCCTGCCTTCCAGCCCTTTTATTGCTCATTAATATGTCCACTGGAAATTGAAAGGGAGAAGAAGGGGCTCTTAACTCTGCATTTTACTTATTAATGGCTTTGGTTAATGGCTTTGGAGAGAAAAAAAGAGTCTGAAACAATTGACTCAAATGATGCACCTAGACAAACAGTTCTGATGTGAAGTGGCACTTAGTTCTTCATTTAGGCCATATTAAAAGTAAATTTATCTTAAGAGAATACGCTGAAAATCTAAGCAGGATACAGGATGTTTTTCCACATCGAGGTATTACAGTTAATTCTGTCCCATGGTATTTAATCTGAAACATTTATTAAGTCACTTACAAAGGGCATTTTCTGGTTAATCTTTTGTTTACTACTGTGAATCACTGCTAAGGGCAGCTTTCTCAAAAGAGGTGAAGAATAATTGAATCTGTCACATCCACATACTAATTAAAATGTCCTATAATTTGGCTTGACAATTTAGATGCCCTGAATGTGTAATTTTACATAAGCATAGCATTAGAGAGTAAACCACTCCTGATGTTGAAGAAAGAGAAAACGCAATTTGAAAATACAGGTCTCTCCTATGCTAAAGGCTAAGTAAATAAGTGAATCAAATTACTTCATACAGTGAAAACCTTTATATTCAGCAAAGCAACAAGGAAACTTTTAAAAATGACCACTTCAGAGCTGGTGAAAAAGAGGTTCTTTGACTATAAACACTTTACATAATTTTTAATGGTAGTATTACTAATATTTGGTCCTGTCGAACTTTCTATCTATTCAAATTTGAGTGAATAGTAAAAAGCTTCCCATTTTCTTGCATTATTGTCTGAAAACACAGGAATGCCACTGAGAGGCGTAGTTCTCAGAATTGCCCAGTATCTAAAAAGGCAAAGCCAGAAAAAAAGAATGCTCTCAAAAAGCAACAGGATTAACAATATAAATGACAGAAAGATAGTTTTGGTCAAAATATTTTGAGCCTTGTAAGTATTAGCAATGTAATGGCTGTGCATTATATTTATAAGAGGTTTTTTTTCCATTTTGGGGGTGGGTGGGTGAGAGAACTGTGGTAATTTGCTATAATGCTTGATAATTTGTTAGAAGTTAAATTTTAACTTCTGTAAGATAACACTTTAAAACGTAAAATAAATATACCTCTTTAATACTCTTTTAACTTGCATTAAAACAAAATACAGTATCTTAAAATAAGCTACATTAGTGTAGCCCTAAATGGATGAATTCACAAGGTTTGAGAGATGAGATGCCCTGACATACGGATGCCATGTAACAAAGAGTATAGCTACTAGAAGATCCATAACATCACCCCATCATGAAAACAGCAGTCTTCTGAATTTGAAAAGAATAAAAATAGCTATGGGTTAAGCATTCACTGTGCCGCATGTTTTACAGCATCATTGTTGGTTCTTTAGAGTAGACATAGTACATAATATTCATCCATCCATCCATCCATCCATCCATCCATCCATCCATCCATCCAGTAAGTATTAAGTGAGTACCTATTACCAAAGCACTGTTCTCAGAATGGGAGATTCAAAGATAAGCAAGACACAGTCTGTCAAGAAGCTCACAGCCAGAGATGAAGACTGAGGTGCAGTTAAATAACTTGGCCGAGGCTGCAGAATCAGTAGATGGCAGAGATGAGATTTGAACCCAGGTCTGAACCTGTATTCTTTCCTCTCTATGTGAGTACCCAGAAAAAGATACTGTTTATTATCAGAAATAAAATAAGGGAGATGAGAATTTTAACATTCAATTTTCTAAGAGACCTTTCCATATGGGTACTATCTTATATTAACTTTGTATAATTTAAGAAAATATGCCTAGAAGCATAAACATTTCCCCTGTCTGCTTTCCACTGTATAATTTTATTATACTTGGGGCTTCAATTATTTACTGTGTGCCTGGAATATACTCACAGAAAAAGAGAACCGATTTTATTAAACTACCAAGATTAATAAAGAGCAAGTTAACACATGGCCAAAACACATTTGAGGGAAATTTAAGAAAACTTTCTCATTAATTCTTGAATTTATTCAGCAAACATTTATTGCATACTTAACTGCATTCATGTTGTGATGCTAGATGCTGTGGAATGGGCAAAGATATGTTATGTCACAGCCTCTGCCTTTACTAAAAGAAGAAAGAGAAAAAAAATCCTCAAGTGTCTATAATGCAAGAAAAAAAGCACAACAAGGAGAAGGTTAGCAGTAGGAGAGATGGTTTCTGGCCAGAGGTTCTGAAGACGAACTTCAAGAAGGTGAGAGAGCAGTGAACTGGGTCTTGAAGAATGGATAGACTTGAACATGCAGAAATGGAGGTAGGTGGCTGGATAGAGGCCATTCCAGATACAGGGCACAGCATGGGCCATGAAGGCAAGCCTGTCAGCTCCTCAAGGGCAGGGTCATGTGGTTTCCCTTGTTCGCTGTGACACCTCCAGGCCCTGACATTGTACATGGCATTGCACCAAAAACTTGTTGGCTGAAAGTTAAATACAAAGGAAACTGAATTCAGGGCATGACTGGGTGACTGCCCGGTGGTGCAGTCTGGCAAGACGACAGGTTGCAATCAAGGGGGGAAAGGGTCTAGCTTGCTAAAACAGTGGGATGTAGGAATTATAGGATTAGGGATACAGACTTGGAGGACCACAGGCCTCAGGTTGATGGCTATGGGCAAGAGGGAGAGGAAAAATGAGGGAGAGATAGACCAGGGCTGAGTATGGAGGCTTGAAACTCATTTATATCAAACACCGGAAAAGAGAAAGAAGAGAAGGGATAGGCAGAGAGGAGGCAGCGCTGGGAGGAGTGAGGGGTACAGTGCTGCCAACACTAGAGCCAGGTGCTACAAGGGCTGCCTTGGGATGCAGACTGAAGAAAACCAGGAATAGCATTTTACCCACTTAGCCTTCACATTTCCTGGTTTGATCAAAGATTCTAGATCTTTTAGAATAAGTAAACATAAAGCAACTCCAAATTTTCTTTTTGCACACATAAGTAGATATAATCTTGAATTTTTATTTTACTAGCCTTTGTATCTAAGAAATGCCTCCTGAAACCTCCTGCTGTGGCTCCCCTCTTCTTAGAACCCACGTTCAACTATAAACTACGCCACACATTTAAGTCAATGTGATAACATCCCCTTGGCCCCAGGATCTCTCGAGGAACGCCCTCAAATCTCTTGCTGCTCTCTAGTAGGTGAAGGACCAATACATTATGTTGGATGAGTCAGTCAGTTACATAAGCTAATGAGGATGTGTTTATCCGGCCTGTGTATCTGCAAATATTCCAGGTAGCTGTCCTAGATATAAAAAATAAATGGGCCCATTGCAAAATAACTTAATCCATTTTAATTATTTGACAGGGTGCCATCGGTGATAGGTGGCTGGCTGCATGGAGAGGTGGGGGCAGTTCAGGGTGGAGGGAAAGCCTGACAATAAAAAAGAGATTCCTGGAACAGCATTCAATATGGTGGCCAGCAATAAAGCAAGGTCCCACTTAGCACCAAATAGAGTGGGAAGGGGAAGTTCTGAGTGTCGGAGGTCTGCTTTTGGCTGCCTGGTGACAAAGGGGCATAGGAACAGTTATCCAATCTTGGAAGTTGTGTCCCTCGATTGGAAAAATGGGTGCCTGTGATTTTCTCTGTGGCAAGATACTGGGGCAAGTATTCTCAAAATCCTTTCTTAGGTATTGAAGTGGCAAGTCATTTTTCTCACCGGGGGAGGATGAAGATTAAGTCACAGTGACCTCCACAGCTGCTCCCCTAAAGCTCCTGCTATTGTAGGTAAGCCCCCCACCCATAAAATATTTCTTCCCTCATATTGCGCTTTCTACGTATTAGCTATTTTCCTCTTGTGAACATGAATAAAATCTCTTGGCCTATTTTTGAAGGAGATTTTCTCTTCTGCAATGTTCTAACTGTGGCCATGTAAGCTTATTAAAGAAAAGTTCCATGAAGATGAAAAATAGAACTGAAATAAAACTCTAATTAGCTTTGAGTTGTTTTTGTGCTTTTCCAGGTGGGTATGTTAAAACAGATTCTAGTGTTGATTTCTCTAGGTAAAAACTCTACTAAAAAGAGGTTTGAGCTTAGGAAGAAAGCTAAAGGTTATAAAATCATAAGATTACCTATAAAACATAAGAGATGGAATCTGAGTCCCTTAGCCCCGGTTTCGGTTCTCCAGAATTCATTCCCAAAGCATTCTCTAACTGCTGACAGTGAAAACGTTCAACACAGGCAACAATTTTGTTAGGGAACCGGCAGATTTTCACACGCTTCTTTTGCTCACGTTACTAGGGAGGGTCCAGGGTGTTATAAAGACTGGAGTGTGCAGGGATTGGAATAAAAGGCTGTGCTATTGGCTGAAAACAGGTCACAAGTAACCAGCTAATCCTAAAGACTACAGGGAAGAAGCCGTCTTTAATGTAGAGATATGGTGAGTATTAGAAGAAAGGATTTCTAATGTGTCTGTCTTGCTCCACTGTTTTGTGGCAACTGAGCAAACGAGGAAGATTCAATTAGCTGTCATTACAACTACATCATGTTTAATAAAGTTAGAATTGAGAGAACGTCTTTGTAAAATAGAATCCTAAGCCTAACACACTAATGACGCTTAATGAACCAAAACTGGATAAATCCCTTTGGAGAGCCAACACATAAACAAAGCTATTAATTAGGTCACAGTTGTTTCCCAACAAGCCTTTTGTTTGATTTACTTACAGTCAACAAAACCATATCCATCGTCTTTGTGCAGAAGTATTCACCAGTGCAACAAAATGTAATTATTACACCTTAAGCACTTGCAATTACATGACTTTATGATGACAACACTGCTGGTTATGCCCTTCATTAGCATCTGTCACTTCCCCAGCCACTACCCAGGCTGGCCACCCACCCTCTGGAGCATTAGGCTTTGCAGTTGATTGACTTGTCTTTATGTCCTTACAGCCTTCGAATAACAGAAAAGACAAATCACTTCTCTTCTGGAAAGGAAATAGGTGTTTCTAAAGCAAGCAAGAAAAACAAATTGCTTCAAATATCAAAAGTTTGAGAAAGAACATTATTTATGGCATTTTGCTGAATTGAAAGCCAATTGGAAATCAGAAGCTCTAGAATAAAATAGAAGGTTTATACCTGGGGTGTATCTCAGCTCTGAAGGTAGGGAATCGATGTATGTCTCTGGAGTCCCCTATGGTCTAATTCTACCATTCCCTATAAAGCAGTCAGCAACAGAAACCAGCTCTGACCAAGATGTAAATAAGTGGCCAAGTTTACATCTCCTGGTGAGACCTCCCTGTGACACCACCGAAGACCTCGTAGCCATGGAGTGCTACAATGAAGGTCTCTCAAGACTGGAGCTGGGAGTAGGAAGGGCAGCTCCATGTTGACATGCAAGGTCCACCACAGAAAACAAGGTCAGTCACTGCAAAGGTAATATGCTCTAAAGAGAACCCTTGCATTTCCCTTTTCTAAATCGACTTCTCGCTCAGCCTTCCCTGTTCACCCAGATGCTCTGGTCCTACACCTAGCAACCAGTACTGACTCATCTCTCTTCCCACATGTCCCACATTCAATCCATCAGTCGGCTTGGCTCTACTTCATTATCTACTCCTAGCCCAACCATCTCACCACCTCCACTGCTAGCACTTCAGTCTAAGCCACCAACGTCCAGTGGGGAGAGGGCACAACTGTAAAAGTGAGAGTGAAGACTGCCTTTGGAGAACTGAAAGGCGGTCAATGTGGTTTTAACTGCAGAGGACAGAGAGAAAGCAGAGTGGGACAAGGCTAGAAAGGTGGGAGGGGCCAGGCTATAAATTACTTTGTAAAACCACATTAAGGATTTGACCAAAGACAATCATCAAGAGAGAAAAATTTGAGGTTCTCAAAATTTACTAGGAGATGCTGGTAAGTATAGCATTAAACAAATGAACACATTTTGATAATGGCAACCAAACTGACTGGTTAAAGGGATACTCGTGAACTAGACATCTAGGTCTGAGGGTCAAGTGCTGATGGATAAGATTTAGGAGTGACCAGCTGACATTTTTACCAAATTCTGTCCTTCCTGGAACTGACCATATGTTCCACGGTAACAGTATTTCTAAGTATTCTATAATAAAAGGAAGCTTCTAACTATCAATGTTGTAATACCAAAAACCAAAAATAAATCTATATGGTATATTTAGGAGCAAAGATTTTATTTGAATGGACCCCCAACTAGGCTGGAGATGAAGCCGTCTTTCTGCTGCTGCATTTAAAGCAGCCTGTGTGCTTGAAACAGGTAAACTTCACAGCATCATTCATTTATTGTGGAAGTAAGATGCTTTGGGGGACTGTCTGCAAAACATAATGCTAGAGATAAGAACAACAAAGTATTATAACAGGTAAAAAGCAGAAATGAAAGATTATTTTCCAATTCAAGAACACAAATTGAAGGACTAAGGATGCTTGGTGCTAAACAGTGTTTATGGAATCTAGTAAGAGTCACTGTCTTGTAAACTTGGAAGGTCACAAGGTCACTCACAAATAAATGTCTGCTGGAGTGACCTGCCTCTTGCTGCAGTGTCCTAGTCCAGATGACCAATAGCACTGCTTGAAGCCTAAAGCATCCTTTTGGATGCAAATGCCCCATTCCTGTGGTATACTTCGCCAGTGCTCATTCCTGTACACGTCCAGCTCTGGCAGGTGACAAGGCTAACGGCACTGCTTCAATGATGACAGGCTGGTATCTTCTCAATGACCCTGTGGGTGATGCCTCTGACAATGCATGTGAAGTACAGTAGGAGGTAATATTCCAGAAATTACCCAAGAAATCAAGAAAGAACAGCTCCATTACCATTGGACATAAGGAAGTTTGGATATTAGTGGCCATTTATTTCTGATCGTTTAACCTGTTTTGTATGGACCATAAAAACACCACTGGTTAACTCCATCAATTGCCTCTCATGCACTACACAGGCCTTCTTTGTCTACCAGTATTTACTTCTTTATTACTAATCAGAGCATCACTGGATATTGTGCTGTCAGTGACAACAGTTAACATCCACAGGATGGATAAAAATCTGTCTATAGCCTGAAAAAAAATTATGTCCTTTGGGCTTATCTGCAGTCAAAGATTTTTCCTTGAAAGGATGATTTCCTTTTCATTTTATAAAACCACATTCTAAGATTTACTGAAACTAAGCAAGTAACAGAGGAAAAAAGAAAAAAAGAGGAGGAATGAGAAGAGAGAGAAAAAAGGGAGGGAGGAAGAAGGAAATAAAGATAAGGAAGGAAAAGACTGAATTACTAAGGGAGAAAGAGCAAATCAAACCTGGACAGAAGGTACTAGACATGACCAGACAGCAAAGTATGGAACCTGCCATGTGTGCAGTACTTGGATCTACTGTGTAAGAGACGTACTGGCTGTTTCCCTACCGTCTCTCAGTCCCAGGCCTCCCTTTCTTTCTGCACTCTCATCTGTGATGCTGGGACTGGGTCTCTACAAACCACATTTCAGAGGCTCTTTGGTCAGTTGTTAGGTTCTTCCAGTAGGGGGCACCAGAAAGAGACTGAAGGTGGGACACAGTAAATGGTCTGCCTGGTTTCTGTCACCTGTACCAGCATCACCCCAGCAGTGGGATCTGGCTCCAGCCTCCATCTTCTGTCAGCACATTGAAAACGAGCCTGCCCACGCCTGCTCCCTCCCTCACCTATATGACCAGCAGCTGGGCAGCGGTCCCCTCTTGGAGGTCTGAGCTCTCCTTAGATTCCTAGGTCTGGTGATCTGTCCTGGGGCACTGTAGCTGCTTCCTAAAATTATTCCCTTTCATTCTTCCAGCCCTCCAATTCCTATGTAACAAATTTCCTATATTAAATCCTTTCTGCTGAAATACATTGTTTTTCTGAGTAGGCCTTTTCTTCTCATAGACTCCCCCTAAAACACATCTTGTGAACCTCCCAACAGCTGAGAGATTCTGCAACCTTACCCAGCAACCTCTTGGCAATCTAGATGGAAGGCTCAATTTTTGATTAAGGAAATCCAAAATGCTAAAACAACTGTGACACAGAAAAAATGACTATGTTCTATCACCCTGTAATATGAAGCCTTATCTTGGATTTGGAATATTTTCATGGTTGGCCATCTTAAAGGAAAATGAAAATCCAACTAAGCTTTTAGTATGAAAATATGAAATTACTGGATGTATTATTTAATACCACATTCTGAATATGTAAGAAGTATCTGAATTATTGTCAGGAATGTGAAGAAAATTAACAGAACATTACCTTACTAGAGGTTTCTATCAAGCTTCCCAAGAAAGCATAAGATGAAAATTGAACATAAATGGAAACTGGAATTCCACAGGTGAAGTTCTTACCATAATCTTGTCGCTGTCGATAATGGTGTTCAACCTGTGTGCAATGGTTAGCACAGTGCACTGGGCAAATTTCTCACGGATTTTTTTTTGTATTAACTCATCAGTTCTGGAGTCAAAGAAGTTGAATTTAGTTCAGTGAAGACAAATTTAAGACTTAAAAAGATCACATGATATTTTTATAATGTTTTTAAAAATCAACACTTTAAGCATGATCTTGTTCTTTAAAAACTAAGTATAAAGTCTATTTAGAAATTTACTATTTTTCATAAAACAATGGAAAATATTCTTCCCTTTAAATTGCTTGAAACTATGAGGAGTTGAATTTTGAAATTAAGCTCTCTTAGGATGCCTAATATTATTAACACTGTATAACAAGTTTTGGTTTCTTCCTGTTTGCCATAATTAATGTTATCAAAAAATACCTTTGGAGCAAAGAGAGTACTTAGAAAAATTTCTCAGCTTCAACTCAGTGTTTCTTATTTTACCACATTTAAAACTTGGATTCAGGACTACGTGCAACTCAGCTCCATACCTTAGATCCACATTTGCTGTTGCTTCATCAATTATCAATATCCGATTTTTCCTGAGAATAGCCCTGGCAAGGCATACCAACTGTCTCTGTCCGACACTGAAGTTCGACCCGGATTCTGCTAATTCTGTATCCATTTTACCAGGAAGATCTTCAATGGCTTCTTTAAGTTGTACCTGTGGATGTAGAAAGAATAATGTTTTTTTTTTTTTCTAAACAAATTACTACTGCAGTAGATAAGCTTCCTAGGCATTAGAGCTTTGAAATCTTTGGGACCTCGGTATTTTTTGTGGATGGTTATGCGACAGGGAGTGTTACTTCCAGTTAGTGTTCACTGAGAAAGATGGTCGAGTCAACTCAGGACAGAAACATTGACTTAAGAGCACAAACTTAATGGGAATCAAGATTCTTCTGGATTGCCATCAGTAGGCACAGTCTGTTCATGGTGTGCCAATTTCATTAAAACATATACAGTATGTTAACTAAAATTATTCTCAAGGTAAAATATAGAAAAATGTAAAATGTTCCTTCTTAATTTTTAGTTAAAAGTTAACTACAGGAATTTATAGAGACAAAATGCAGAACAGTGGTTGCCTAGCGACTAAGGGTTAACTGTAAATGGGCACAGGGAAATTTTGGGGGCGATAGAAATGTTCTATAACTAGATTGTGATTTACCAACATCACTGAATCACACACTTACAAGGGGGGAATTTTCTGGTATGTAAATTATACCTCAATAAAGCTGGTGAAAAGAAATCACCTCAGTGTCCCCATTGCTGGTACAAGAGATGCACCAGGAACTCCTCCCAGGGATTAGGTAAGGAAGTCTCTCAAAAAATGACGCCGTATCTCCCAGTGTAGTCTAACAGAAGTAATAACTTTAGCGATGTAGTAACTTTAACAGAAAAGTTAAAAGCATCTTTATGGTTGAATCAAGTTTCCTGAAAATATATTTTGCAAAGTAGTGAGTACAGTAAAGAGAAACTTTTTTTTTAATTATTGCAGGAAGTATGGCTCTCTAAAGATATAATCTTATCAGTACCTTGCTCTTTTGGAAGGTTTTAAGTTAAAAAAAATTCAAATTCACACATTGGCAAACTGCATTTTATATATTAGTAAATCTGGAGTCGATTTTAGTGATGGTTCTTTCCCAAATCTAATCCCATATTGCTAGACTAGTCAAGTGTATTTATTTCAATCTCAGAAATGTTTTTCAGTGAATGAAAACTCATGGAAAACATGGCACAGCATAACATCTTATTTCCCCCAGACTATGGTGATAGGTGGTGTTTATATTAATCTCTCTTCAAAAAATTGTAATCATTATAAGTTTTTTTTTCTTTTTTTTAAAAAACAAACACTTAATCACCAAAGATAAACTGAAACTATACAGGGTGGTAGAGCTCAGTTCAATGACTATTTTGGAGAAATTTTATGGAGCAAAAACTAAACTCAGGCTACACTTGAGATAAAGAAGAAAAAGTAAATAACTTCGAATTAAGAAATTAACAGGTTGATGAGTGATAGCCGATAAGCAGGGACACAGAATTACAATGTTAAATAACAAAACACCAAAGGTAAGTGGGCAACGTTTTCATGATATCCTAAACCCTGAAGCACTTGTGAATGTGACCTTGAGTTGTGTTCGTGATGGAAGTCCAATCCTAACAAACTGAAATTCTGAGTTAGGATTAAATATGGTATTGGTACTTAGCATTAGCATGGAAGGCATACAAAATCTTTTTATTTTTTATTATTAGTTTCAGGTGTACAGAACAATGTAATAGTTATCCTTTTCACCCCTCAAAAGAAACCACCCCTCTCCCCATCTACTGCCCTCCCACCCCCAATATCATACTTATCTATTACAATTCCATTGACTCCATTGCCACACTCTACTTCACATCCCGTGACTATATGTGTATATGTGTGTATATGTGTGTGTGTGTGTGTGTGTGTATATAAATAATTATAGTTGACATACAATATTATTCAACATCAGCTTCAGATATACAGTGCGGTGGTCAGGCCTCTACATCGTCTATGAAGTGGTCTCCCTAACAAGACATGAATCCATCTGGTCCCCTAAAATATATTTACAACATTATTGATTATATTCCCCAGACTGTCTTTTCTATCCCTGAGGCCATATTGAAGTTACCAATTTGTATTGTCTTGTCCCTTCCTTTTTTCCTTTATCCCCACCCCCTCCCAACTAGCAAAAAGGTATATAAAATCTTAAGTGTAAGATGTGAATTGTGGTGCAAGTCCTCATACTGAAAATTCTAAAATGGAAGATGTCAACTTAGTCAATCCCCCTCCAAGGAATTCCAAAGCCCAAGGAATAGGGCTTTCTAAGTATTCTTTTTCTGACACATATTCATAGCTCTGCGCCGCAGATGATGGGACTGATCGAAAGTATGATAGTGGCAAGGCCTTGATCAGCTTTTCCTGCTGAGCTGACTGGTAACTCTTGTGAATGCAAACTGGTCTATCTTAAGACTGACACCCTGGCTTTGAAGAAATAATCTCACATCTGCCCAACTCGGATGACATTAATCACTAATTTGGTTTTGGAACCTTGTTCAGACTGTCCATATCTGCCTGACAAGGAGTAAAGGTTGTGAGATCAAGTGCAATGAACATGTGTTCCAGAAAACACCGTTTTCTGAGACTTTTGTCTTCATTTACAAATCGGGGATGGTTATGAGAATGACACAAATGTGAAGGCCCCCTGTAGTGTTATCAGACATTTATGTTATAATTATGTATTAGAACTGAGAAAAAGAGACTTAAGGCAGTATAACATAGTAACTAGGGTTACAACTGGAGAATTTGAAAACATTAGATAACGGCGTAATATTACTAGTAAATTTCTTGAGTGAGATAACTATATTATGTAGGACAATGCCTTGTTCCTATAAGGTATATATTTACATATATAAGGGTGAATTGCAACTTTTAATGAAAATTTCTGCAACTTTCAAACAGTTCAGCACAATACAGACTGTAGCAGAGATAAAGTGAATGTGGCAAAATATTAACAACTAGTGAATCTAGGTGAACGGCATATGTGTGTTCAGTCAGGCTATTTGACTTCCCTGTGATATGAAAATTTTAAAATAAAAAATTGGGATCTTGAAGCTAGACAGCCTGGGCATGAGTCCCATCTGGCTCTGCCAAGTGAGCAAGTTCCTGAACTTTCTCTATCTTAGCTTCCTAACTTGTAAATAAGACTATAATAATATCATAATAAAGATGTCTACCTCGCAACATTGTTGGAGTATGAATCAGCACGTGTAGGGTTTCCAACAGTGCTTGATATAAAGCAAGAGATCAACAGATATCATCTATTATTAATATTGCAGTCAGTCTCCATGGTCTGCTGTATTTTTCTTTGAATTTATCAGGACTGAGACTATATACATATAGATAATATAGTCTTGCATCTTTTGATCTTTTACTGATAAACTGCTTTATGTGTAGCCATTAGCTATAATTGTAGAGCTGCCATTGCTTTTTAGGCTGCCCAATCAGCACTAATTTCTAATGAACTTCCTTTAGTTTATACAGCTGGCTATTTTTCAGTACATTAGAAATTAGAAAAAAGTCTTTTCAGCATATTTTAGAGAATAACCAAGAAGAGGCGAACAACATCCACAGATCTGTCTCCCCTCCTAATGTCCATCTCTGGGAGAAGGAGGCGGCAGAACTAAGAAGAATTAAAAAAAATTTTTTTTAAAAGCATCTTTTCCTTTTATTTGAACTTTGTAAAAGGAAAAATGTAGTGCCCTCGTACTGACTCCTTAAGCTAACCCTATGAGTTTGGGCTCCCGGTTCCATTTTGGCATCATTCATAAACCAACTGACCAGGGATTTTAGCCCACCTAAAATTTGACCTCATTGCTTTATATGTTTTTTTCAATGAAAGATTTGGTAAATTTTCTAAAAATTAGGATACCAAATCTTTCATTGAAAAAACATACAAAAGTCATAAAGAAATAATTCCTAGAGAAACACAATAATGGGATGGCTTCCCACTCAGAGAGGTGTCACTGAGGCAACAAGGTCAATTCCAGAAGTAATACACGGAAACCACTGACTTCACTTTGTGAACTAAATTCAAGTTTATTTCTATTCACAGAAAGTTCCAATGTAGCTTAAATAAAGGTAGATCTTAATATCATCAACCACTTTCACCATCTCATCATTTTTAGAATTCTGAGAGGCTACTAAATTTTAATTTTGGCTCCTACCGATGAAATAAGTACTAGTTACAGCCAAGTTTGAAGATAGTTTTTGACAGGATGTCTCTCCCAATTAACCTTTCCTCACTATCCATGGAGCAATGTGTTTCTAGAGTGTTTTCCTATCTGAATCTGAGAAGGGTGATCTCAAGCTCTGAAACAAACAGAAAAAATAATTCACCAGTAATTCCTGTTTTTTAAAGGTGTGTCACAATTACACCATTAAGTGGGCCCTGAGAGTTCAAGAGCAGTAGACCATCCTATCTTTTCTTTATATTTAACGGTTAACTGTTCTCCCCACCTCTTCTAGAATTTCACTGGAGAAAGACTCAAATGAAATCAGAGGTCCAGAGCTTTCCAAGTAGAAGAAGGTGAAGTAGTTGGCCTAATTTAGAAAAATAAAATCCCCACAGTTGCTGGAAAGCAGGGTGGGTGTGTGAAGACACAGTGCTGACATGCCTGCAGAAACAAGAATTACTGGCAGGAAATTGTTGGGCCTCCAAATCTGGTTGTTCACAGTCAGGGCTCCCCGGAAGGGTGACATGAAATGCCAAACGCAGATTCAAAGCAACAACAATGTGAGCAATTGATCACTGAGATTCGTGGGTTGTTTTTTTTTTGTCTTTTTTTAAAGAAATGAGCTAAACTTCTCTGAAATTTATTAACATTCAGAGAATGTTAATAAATATTCAGTGCAGGTTTATTAAGTGCTTACATCTCAAAAGCAAAAGACTGAGCTAGGTCCTATGAGGGATGAGAAGCCTGTCTATGATTTAGAAATCTAGATATGGTTTCTGCCATCCAGTGGCTTAGAATCAATTTGCAGAACTAGGCTGAACGGACAAAATAAGGAGCATTAAAATATACAAACCAATAACACCTTACTTAACATTCAAAATACTTTTCATGCAAAAAGAGAAAAAATTCAAAGATGTAGTCCAAAGGGAAACACAACACAAATAATAGAAAATACTCTAGAAATTAATATATCGGTATAAAAACCGATATAGCAAAAGCTCCAGGGGTCTTTTACCTGCATTCTCTCTGCAGCATTAAAACTTGTTTGCCAATAAATAATTCTGATCACATTCTAACTGTAATTTACCTTTATAAACAATTTCTTATAAAACTTCAGAGTATTTTATTGGTATAGCCTCATTCATCTTTTAGTTAATAATAAAAAAATCTATTAATGTCTCTACTTAGTAGATGTTCCCTAAGACCAGAGGAGTAAAATGAATGTTGCAGGGTAACTAATTAGCCATTAGGTCACTAATAGAATTTGAACCCATAATTATAACTTCTAGTTTAGTGCTCTGCTAAGGGCAAATAAGATAATGTATCTAGTTGCTTTGGGTTCCAGGAAAAACGTTAAAATGAGAACATCAGGCACTATATTTCTGGTTGTCATCATCATCAATATACATAGTTTAAGTGTATCCATGTGATCAATGTTCTTTTAGGGGTGAACAAGTCAGTTAAACCAAAAAGCTCCCTCTTAATTACTTGCAATTCTACAAATGCATATACATATATACTGATGCTAACAAGTTAATTACATTTTATAAATTACCTCTTTTAAGGCATTCCACAGTTCCTCATCTGTATGCTCATTAAAGGGATCCAGGTTTTTCCTCATTGTTCCAGTGAATAAAACAGGTTCCTAAATATCCCAAAAGAGTGAATGTTATTACTGTAGCCTCTTTTCCTTTTATT